CCACCTGCCGCGGCGCTTTCGATGTCTAGACAGCTATTTTGGGCCACAAAAGATAGTTTTTGGGACTCAAGTGACCATCACACAGATAACCCCCCCAAGATTAGTTTATATTCTATTTAGCTACATGATAGGTTCTCTACGTGAACAAACCACACTCATACACCCTAAAATGGGAACAAAATTCCACGACATTGCTGGAACAGAATTGAACAGTCAAAAACAGAAATGAAATTAAATCACTGACTGCACACACAAATTAATTTTACCTAGCAGATGCGAGTATAAAGAGCATGCAGACGACATTATACAGATATTCTCCCCTGGCTTCATTCCAAACAAACAAACAAACAAAAACCCAACAACAACGAAAAATACAAATGAGTGTTAATGTTTATTTGTCTTAATGAGGCCTGCAATTGGCTGGTGATGTGCCTGCAAGTTCAAAGAGGACAAGCATGACAGAAAATGAGTGGTTAGACAAAATTTACACTTAAATAAAGGAGAAGTGATATTGTAACAGCTTTTTTCACCACATTACCATCTACATCAGGGGTAGGGAACTCCGGTTCCTCGAGAGCCATATTCTGCTTGTTTTAGATTCCTCCCTACTCCAATACACCTGATTCAAACAATCAGCTTATCAGGAAGCTCTATGGAAGCCTTAAACTGTCATGATCAATTGAATCAGGTGCGTTGGAGTAGGGAGTGCTCTAAAAGAGGCAGGATATCCCGACCCCTGATCTACATGAACTGTCGGCAGTTGTTCATGCACTTCTATCCATTTTCTGGAGCGCTTGTTAGGGTTGGGGGTCTTTCAACAGTGAGGCAAATGTTTCAACTACTGCGACACAAAAGTTCCATCAGACTGCCTTAATGCCATTACAGATTTGGTAAGGGAAGGAAAAACAATCCATTCTGCATTATATCAACTTTCTTTCTCGCTCTCTGTGTTCATTTGTACTTAAAATACACAAAATCGCCAGACAAGCTTCTCATTGAGGGGAAGCACTGAGGCTGGCATCGGGAGAAGTGGGGGAGGACAGTGTGGAGGGATGTGGGACTGATGTCCCAGACCTCACTTTGGGTAAAAAATAGCTGGAGCTTGTGGTCTGTGCATAGAATAACATCATTGGGAAAAACGTGGAGCAGCTGTTTTGACATCTCCGGGGTCAAAATTAAAATCACGCCGTGGGTGTTGGATCCATTTGCATCACTAATACCAGACTTCCCCTATAGTCTAGTCTTTGTTTGCATTGTGGTCATGTCTCTCTCTCTCTCTCTCTCTC